TTGATCACGACACATTTAGGACCACTGTATGTTAAAACCACTGTATGTTAAACTTCCTGTTACTGAAAAAGTGTCAGAGAAAGTTGAAAAGTTCTATCAGACATACTTAGTTCCTCAGTGCCTTAGTGCCATAGATGGCACGCACTGAAATAAAGCAACCATTACTGAATTCATCAGATTATATAAATAGAAAATCTCGTTTTTCTCTGAACATTGAGGCTCTCTATGATTATTATTGCTGCTTTTTAAATGTAGCAGTGAAATGGACTGACTCAGTTCATGATGCTAGAATGTTTAGTCAGTCCAGATTGAATGAACTCTTAAAGAATGAAGTTATACCTCCATGCTGGCAAAGAATTTGTGATGAAGATATACCTATATTTATTATAGGTGATCCAGCTTACCCATCAATGCCTTACCTTATGAAGGAATATGCGGGTGGTGGAATGAATCGTCAAGAGCAGTATTTTGATTTCAGATTGTGTAGCACAAGAAATGTTACTGAATGTGCCTTTGGTCGATTAAAAGCTAGATTTGCATGTTTAAAGCATGCAATGAATATAAACTTGGATGACATACCTTTCATTATATATGCCTGTTTTGTTGTGCATAACTACTGCGAATAACATAATAAATCAATGAAGAAACCATAAAGTTGGGAATCACCTATGATCGTGACTTTCAACCTTTGTTATCTACTAATCGATCTTCCAGTAGTAATGAAACAGAAGGGAAAAGAGTGAGAAGAGCATTAACTCATTATTTTAACACTTAAAAAATGATTATAAAGAATGAATAAATGCTACAATGAAACATAATCACAATAGTTAAACCTAATAATGGAACAGAATCACAATGATTAAACTTAAGAGAACTGTACATGTCATTGGTTTTTGTAATCATTGAATGGGGGGAAGATATGGTTGAGCTACGATTACTGTATGAGCAAGGAGAGACTTGCATATAGGAATGGAAGGGAGGAGACTGGGAAGAGTACATATTGCGGGGTTGTTGCTGTACCATCAGCATTCGATTAAGCAGTACAAAACCATTAGCTATAGACTCACTAAGCTTTTCCATGTTTCGTGACATTCTTTCCATGTTTTCTGCATATTTCCTATCCATTTGTTTTACAAGTCATTTCTTAATCTGTAACTCTTCTTTAGCCCAACATAAAAGTTTTGTATAAACAGGTAGTTTACATTTTAACTTCTCTTGCTTATTGTTCTTCAACATGTCATCAAGAAACTGTCTTCTTTGCTTAGTAGATTGATTCTTTTCTACATTCATGTTGACCCCCTCTCCCAATTGCAGCTAATCAGACTCACTATTATTTAGATTGGAAACTCCACTGCATTCGGCAGAAGTTGATGTGTCTTCTGTAGCTGAAGACATACTTTCATTGGTAGCATGTGACTTATCCCCAACTACTAACTTTAAGTCATTGGATACCAGAAACTACTATTAGTGCTTCTGAAAAGAGCTGCAATTTTGGCGATTTGCTCTGGGGTTCCACCAGCAAACTTATAGTTGCAAGGTACCTCAAGGCCTCTTTGTAACAAATCCCTGTGTGCCTTCTAACACTATTGACAAAGCATTGTATTACAGTATTGGGTTTGTTTAGACAGTATTGGGTGTATTGGGTTTGTTTAGCATAGCCTTGATATAACTTTGAGGACATGTCCCACAATAATACCTGATTTGTACGCAGACACAGCATAGCAGATATGAGGATTGTTCATATGTGGGCTACACACCAGCTCCTCACCCATACAAGGCTCCCACATGTCTTTGTAAATGGGAAGACCACGAATTTAGCTACATACTTGAACCAAAGTTAGAGCATTGACTACTGATGATTTTGATAGCTAAGATAACTTCCCTCCTAATGTAAACAGGTGGTCAATTGTCATAGCGAAGCTCAATAGGCTTCCATGGTATTTAATTAAACTTCTTTATTACTTTTTATCACCACTAATATTAGCAGCCACAAATATAACCCAACCTACGGTACACAGTGATTTGTGGGGAGCATATAATGGCATTGATAGGTTACATAGACATAACTATACCCATCATACTGTCAACCATTCCCAACATTTTGTTGACCCAGTCACAGGAGCTTATACCCTGTGTCTGAAATCCATGTGGAGTCAGTGCAAATGGATGATGAGAAAAAAGCAAACAATGCATTCTCAACTGTTCCATACATACATGTACCAGCTTCAAGTTATGTGGAGAATAAAGTTCGACAGTCCTCACCAAAATGCATTTATCAATATCATTTCTAGTATAGTAGAATAATACCCAATGATATAGTGTATTCTCTAACCGTACCTAGAACTATAATGGTATAGTAATTAAACAGGCAGTAAATTTAAGACATATAATTACACTTTCCATCTGTTTCAAAAGGCAAGTCATTGGTTTTCAGGGTCCTATTTCTTACTCCCTTTGCTTTTTATCACTAGCATTCTCTGGTTTCTAGCTGTTGCTGTTTTATGGAGTATGAAAAAGTTTTGTCGGCCATTTTGTGAACACACCCACTGGGCCAATCACTGTTGCACCGGAAGTATGTGGGCGTTGGCCACGCCACTTTGTCATTATTAATGAGGTAGTACACAGTCTTCAGTAAAACCGACATCTGTGATGGGCAAAACTATGTACTATGAATGTGAACCTGGCAATAGCAGTGATCCTTATGCTGTGGCAGTGATCAAGAACATTATCGTCAGCCATGTGTCAAGGACGATTTTGGCTGTCGGTTTCTTGTTTCTACGACATGAAGCACACACTGTATCTGCAACAGTTACCGGTAAGAGTAAGTACTCTAGTGATATGCAACAGGTTACTTTGCAGATCCCATGCACTTCAATATTTTTAGAAAAAGTGTTCATTCAAAGAGTTGAAAAGTTGTCAACCTCTTGCTCACTTCTTAAACTTACTGATCCCTATGAAGATGATGACACTTAACCTCCACGACCTTTAAAATTTGATCTCGACAAAATAAATGATCAAGCAAATGATCTAGAAGACAACGAACAGATTTGGCAAGATGTTACATGCAATCAATGGTACTATAGGCTCAAAACAGAGGACAAGAATATTGTTTTTTGAATAAATGGTTAAACGATTAACAACTTTTGCCCAAGCTATATTAAAACAACAGATTTGTAATAGAAGGTTTAGAGACTACTTGTTACGCATCAAGGCCCTCCTCATGTCACAATCCAGTGCAAAATTTCAATAGGGGCCATAATCACTGGATTGTAGCATCCACTGTTGAAAGTGGTAAAGAAGTGTCTGTCTATGATTCACTCTATACATTTCTTGCAGGGATACTGTCGCCACGTACGGATATTTGCACACTTTTCGTACAATGGATGAGCAAATATGATTTTTGGGGACTAAAAGTCATATTTCTTTAAAAAATGGCAGAAGATATGCAAAGTTTATAAGAGTGTTGATATTGACATGCTGAAGAATTGAGAGAAAGTCCTGCTTAGGTAAGATATCTGATAAAGGCCAGAGAAGAGCTCAGAAAAATATGGACTGTAGCAATCCTGGCTACATGGTCAAACTCACCAGTCAAAATGACGCTAGCCTTTTACCGATGGCAGACTTCGTGAAGAAATTGTAATATAGTACCTACCTCTTTGCTTGGTGGAGATAACCATAAAGCATAATTTGTTGAAGTATCAGAGCTCCAGAAGCAAGAGTCACACAAAAAAATGTTGCTTTATTACATAATTGTACGCCCGCAGCCACTTGTGGTTATAAACTTTCCATGTACTAGCTCTTCCATTAACTGCACCAGTATCCAATTAATGCAGAATCAAGACATTATATAAAAGAAATTTGGTCATGGTTTAGTCATAAAAATGGAAAAGTGCCCTCAACAAATTTGAAGCTGTGACTGCAGTGTTCTTGCAATAGCAATGAGCACCTTGATTGTTATCAATTAAAAATCCCAGCTAAATTTGATCAAACACAAATGAGGCAACACCTGTTAGAATGCTTACAGCAGTTAAAACTGAAAAGTTTGGCATAACGCATTTTTAATAAATAATTATAATATACAATAAACTTGAAGATATTTAATAATGTGCATGCAATATTACTGTATAGTTAATTATTTTTTAATTAGTAAATCTATAGCTTGTTGAATGCCTACTTCACAATATCCATCGATATCAATTTCAGGCTTTTGTTCAAGTGTAAGCCAAGAATGGATTATCCAAGAGTACTTGTACTCTTTATTTTTCAGGTAGACAAATACACGTTTATGCCTTGCATTGCTATTTCTTTTTCCAGTTGCTTTTCTACTGATTCAGCATACCATGATCCATATCCCTTCCGCAACTCATCTTTTAATGACTGATTGACTGAGATATCCATCGGTTGTAACTTGTCAATGGTATTAGCAGGAACTAAAACATGATAAGTTTTTAGCAGCTCCGTAAACTCTGAAGTTGTCTGCCCCTCAAAGCAATCAAATATAGCTAAGGTAAGGCAGCGTATTGCTTAATTGTAGCTCTTTTCTCTTCTCATTCAGAAATGGAAAAATAATCTTCGTAACATATCTTTTCATATTTTCGTCAGAAGACCAATGACTCTGGAAGTGCCAGCTATTAAGCCACTGAACCAGTGGTGGATCTGGGGTGAGAATGATGGTAGGGCAAAAATTAATATTCATGAGTAGGTGTCTTATGAATAGTTATTAAAGGTTAATTACTTTTAATTAATGATGTTTAAATCAATTAATACAGTATTACAGATGTGTTCTTATCTCCACCTTCAAATCTATTAAAAACATCTTCCATTAAGATATCACTACTAAGCTCTTTTTTCGATGGACAGTAGTGAGATGTTAGTGAGTCTTTGTTCGGACATAGTACTTCTCAGATAATTCTTAATTCACTTTAAAGCAGAAAAGGACCTTTTACATTGTGCTGTGCTAACTGCTAGTGTCAAAGCAATACGAAATATTTGTGTAAGAGTAGGGAAGGCAAATTAAAGAAGTTGGATTCAACTAGAAACATCGACAACAGCCTCTGCTTTATCAGAGGAGTCAGAAATAATCCTTTTGGCAAGCACACACCTGCTATCAAGAAGATCCTGGCTAATGCCAAAAAAAGATGCCGTGAACTTTAGAAGAGATGAATCAAGGAAGTGAGTAGATTTTGAATTACATGCTTGTAACGACTTCATAATGTCTATATTAGTATGAGAAAACGTATCTATTTCTGACAGCATATGATCAATCACTGGGATATATTTGCAAATTTTAAGAAAATCAGAATGATTGATGTCATCATGATAACCTGAAGACTCATATGCAATGTAATCTTCTTGCAATGCCAGAGGCCTAGCTTATCTTCTTTTTCATCTCTCTTCAACTTTGATACCATGCAATACTGCAACTTCTGGTATGTATTTGTATGTTTGATCCCAAGATTCATCAGCTTTGATTTTTTTAGAGTGTTAGTTGTTCATGCTATAAGTTGAGCACCACTGATGTAATCTATTACAAAGCTCTGCATTTCATTAGACAGTGACTTCGTTATTCTCATAATACGCAAAAAATATTATGACATGAAAGAAACTTAAAGCTGGTGACATGATG